TTTACTCGTATTATTCATATAATTCCTATTAATCACTTGGTCCATAATATATACATGTGTGTATGATCAGGCTACTTAATTGCGTGCGTGACGTGTTACTAATATTTCGGTCAGCGTCAGCACGCAAAACTACCAAGCCACACCGCATAAGACTCATAAGCCCTTTATCAAAAACTTAGACAATGATTCTTATTATAAGAATTCATTTAAACAATCCCTTGAATATACATCTTTATGGGGTTTTAGTATTAGTTTTTATACACACTTCGTTGTCATGGAACCATGCCTAGATCTTGGTCTAAATATTAAATGAAACTAATTTTACGGATTCTATTACGTTTAATTTTTAATTCCCGAAGTTTCGGTTGCTTTGCAACACCCATGGTCACGGGGGGGGGACTGAGGTGCTTGACGTCCCGATGTCATAGTTAGCCCGGCTACCTTCAGTTTTTGAATATTAATTTTGGTCCGATCTACGCAGAATGAGCTTGCAGTATCTTGAAATCTTGCAGTGGTGTTTGGATTTAATTTTATTAATTTTAGGATCCCACGCTGAATGTAACACCCATCCATCTTCTTTTTTGAAATTAGGATGTTTTATAATTTCAAAAGCCTCGCAAATCATCCTTGGTAGGAATCGATGTCCTTTTGCGAGGATTTGTGGTCTATCAAATTAAATGTAATGGCGAGGTCGATCTTGAAAATGTTCACAGACTACAGACTTCCGGTAACGTCGGTGCTTCACGTCAGCTACATATACAATGTTCTTTTACGTGGGTTTTTATAGATGTTTTTGTTTGTCTTATGTACGAGAGACCACATTCACAATAAAAAAATTACTAATCTTCTTCGGCGACTTGTAGTAGGTTTTAATGGAAGATCGCTTCAAAATGTAGCCAATCTTGTCTGTGACGCCTTTGACGTATGGTAGTACAGCAGGCACACGCTCGACTGTGGCTGACTTAACTCGGTCACTGTGACGTAGGAAGCTTGTTGTCTTGCAATACTTGCTTGACGTACGGAAGCTCGGTGGCCAGATGTTTTCTGTCACAGATCCCTAGTGCTCTCTGTAACATAGTGCTTCCCTCTGAGAAAGAGATGGCGCTGAGATGAGCAACATACGATAGAATATGTTTTATGTAGTAAAATTACAAAAAAAAATATATTTGTAGAAGTTATAAGCATAACAAGTCAACTATTTTATCACGAATGTTAATTAATGTAGCCGCTTTGGGTGTGTGCAATTTGGGTCAATCGATGTGTTTAGAATTGGGTTATATACCACACAGTCCTTCATTTACTCGTATTATAATTCGTGTCGGGATCTCCTTTTATAAAGTCTATTTAAATCAACTGTTGTGAGTATTGGCTTTTAAAAAAAAAATAGCCAACTGGACTGCATAGCTTCAGTGATTTAGCTTCAACATTCTTGGATTAATTTTTATCTCTATCGTCAAATAACAAACAGCGATTGCACTGCTATATTGTGCAGTCTCACTGGTGTGTTCCAGTCTGAAGAATATAGAGCTAGAGAAGGGGCAAGATTAATTACAGGCTGTGACGCATTCCATCCTAGCCCGCATACGTTGTTAGAAAATGGCTGCAGGTGTACATGTAAATGAAAGTTCGTTTGTCACTTCAGTTTAATAAAAAAAATATCAGTAAGGTGAACCACGTGCTCATGAGGTTCATACTTGGGAGAAGTGAGAAGTTATTACAATCCCATTACATCCCGATATATGAAAAATATAAAACATTTTTAACATTTGCATTTTGTTGGTTCTATAGTTTATAATTTTGTACGTGGTAGAGCCAAGGTGCAGCTATATTTATAATATAGTTGTAGCACGTATGAGTCGGCTCGACCGGGGAAGTACCACGCTCTGACAGAATACCACCGTCAAATAGCAGCTTAATGCTGCTGTGTTTCGTATGGTGAGTGTAGAGATCCGAAGACAGATTTTACTGGAAAAGAGGCATTCCATCTTAGTCCTCAAGGCTGACAACGCATCTTCATTTTGACTCGCAAACGAGGATAGATGTAGATATCTATGGGCCACAGCAACCACTTACCATCAGGTGGACTATGTGCTCGTTTGTCACCCTATTTCTCTATAAAAAAGATTTCTGATCCCAATATATGTAATATTCAAGGATGCATAAGCCTGCGCCTTTATTTTCAGATAATTTCAATACATATTCCATTTAGACTACATTGCTACGTACCAAAGAGTTTAGTACTACCTACATTATCCGTATAGTAACTTAACTACTTACATTATCCGTATAGAACGCAGGTATAAGTGTATAAACTAAATTGCTAACAACAATAGCAGACGTGTTGTAGACATTATAATTACGAGTAGCTACGAGTAGCTGGTTACCTAGTTTAAAGAAATCTGTGATTGTAACAGCTTTCATCTGACTCAGTGTATCTTCGTCCCTGCTATAACAATAAAAAGTTGAAGGTGCGTTCGAATCTTAAGATGTCTCGTCTAAACTAAAATTGTTTTCTAATAAAAACAAAATGAACAACACCATAATATCCAGTCACAGTCGTACGTTACACTGCGCGCAATGAAGACTTATTTTCGTCAATACATTACAAGTTGAAAGGCGGTCAAAAAAACTTAAGTGAATTTTCAATAACAAATAGAATATGTGCGACATGTATCTCGGTAAACCGAAAACTTCATCAAACAGTGAGTACCAACCTTTAAAAGAATAAAAGCTCATAATATATTATCTATTTATCCTCTAATAGATTACTAGGTATATAATTTGATCGACATGTGTTTTGATGTTCTTTATTTATAAAAATCGATACTTATGTTAACTTAACGTGCTTAGAATTCAAGGTTCAAGGATTGAAATGTGTATTGTGTAATGTGCCATACGTGTATGAATTATTTAGTAAAGTACTACCAAGTAAATAGCTCGTAGTTGAGCCCCAATCGATAGAATCGCAAAGGGGATCGATCACAAGAAAAATAATTTCCTTGTCGGTTTAACGGACTCGAATGACATAAATAATTAGCTAATGGAATACTAACTTTTCATATTTACTTTAGGTGCTTAATGGTTCGTTTCTTATCATCAATATGTTTTAATATAGGTACAAAATGAAGTACCTGCCTAAGTTTTACTAGGTTATGAAACATATTGTGGAAGGTTTTCAACAAAAAATAGATAAATTGTTATTAGGCACTAAATATTATATACTTTATTAATCCATTCATTTATTGCCTTTCCAAAGTTCACTGCTGAACACAGGGCACATAGATTACCTGCGCAATAAGCCCCTTTGCACCACTTTCCATCGAAATCGAATTTGCTAGATGGCATTTTGCAGTATCAGTCCAGTATATGGCAGCAATACTCCATGCAAACGTGATAGTCTATTCTGTTAACCTTCAGACAAAGCTTCGGTCGACATGTTATTTTACGAAATCGATATAATTATGTTGTATCAAAATATCACGGAATGATAATCACAGTATATGTATAGAAAAATGTTTAGACGTGATAGAGCCACGCTTGCAGCTATATTAATTGGATGGTTGTAGCACGAATCAGTTGGCTCGACCGGGGAAGGACCACGTTCTCACGGAATACCAGCATAAAATAGCAACTTAATGTTGCTGTGTTTCGTATGGTGAGTGTAGAGAACCGGAGACCCTTTTTACTGGAAACGAGGCATTCCATCGTAATCATCAGGGATAACCACGCATCTGCAATTCGACTCTTAATCGAGGAGGAATCGTTTGTTTGTGTCCCCTTATTCTATAAAAACATGCAAGACCGGACTCGGAGTAACAAGCTGTTGCAATGGCAAAGACCCCTAACTTTCTGCAGCTGCTTTTGCCCTGGACTCAATGAACCGTCTGAAGTTCAGGTTTGAGAAAATCTCAACTACAAAAGGCTGTCACGTAATCCAGTCATATAACACAAAAAGAAGGAGCTAAGGCAATTTGGCTCGTTTTGCAGGCAGCAAAGAAACACGCTTGTTTTTCGGAGTCGTTGATAACTTCTTTTACGGACTGTATTTGACCTCGATTGACCTTGTCATTCACCTCGTATCTCTCCACAACTGTGATGTCATCTACTTATCCATATATACCACGTAATTGATATACAGCAAGAAGAGAATGGCGGTAGGAACGGACCCCTGATGAACCTGATATCATTAATTATTATGCATGATTATTATGCATGATGAGAAGTTTTGAGTACCTTTGAGAACGACTCAGAGAGACTGTTTACTCCAAAAGCACTTCACACAACCGACTATACTGGGGAATACGCCTTACGCTGTGAACTGGCCTAAAAGACTAAGGTACGTGAGAGTAATATGGTCACCTTAAGCTTTGCCGCCCTATAAAACCAAAACTAGGAGGAGGACAGAGACAAAAACACAACGTCGTATACTATAACTAATATATTACGAAATATATAGCAAATAAGCTTTGACAATAATTAGGAACAGTTCGAAAAATCAACTTAAAAAAACTAACTATTCTTCACAATACTAAAATCAACTAAAATATTTACGAAAATGTCAACTGTCAAAATGGCATCGATAAAGCAACACCCTTTTGACCCTTCACTATTTCATTTATTGATCAAGAGCTATCGTATCACAGAACCATCTATATAAACAAAACTGTAGTTTTTCAGTTATAAGAAAGTGACCATATTAACCGGATGTCTATACTACCCTCACGTACCTTAGTGTGCTAAAACCTGTCAAAGGGCTTTTGAGGCATCGAGAAAAATGGCAACTGCATCTCATTTACCTCTAAAGCCTCACCACATATCTGTAACTGGCACATACAATAAGACACCATGCGTAATCCATACTGTGGGTCGCTAAGGTCATTCTGTTCGAAGTTTGCAATAAGGGATACGAACCCGCGGGCCAAAACACCGCAGCCAAACGCTCCGCTACTGTGCTACCGGGGGCTATCAAATCAAAAATTATACCTATTACTAAATTGCAGTAGCCTGGCACCGGCCGCAGTCGGCAACTTCCCGCCAGGAGGAGGAGCTAATTCAGAAGAGTACTCGTGCTGCGTCAAACGTGACCGACCCTCTTGAGAAACTACGTCTACTATGCTTGTCTAGAGGTGCGACTGGAATATTAGGCCTAGGAAGGTAAACATCGATATAATATCACCTCGGTAACACGGTAACACCGTATTCGAAGGTCTTTGCGGGTACTTTGTAATGAAATGAAACACAAGTGGTATAATTAAAAATTTTGTACAACCGACTTCAATATAAACAAAATGAGAACATCATCAATATAGTCGAAGTCAATTAAATAAGCATTATTAAGGATAGCTCAAAAACTACTGGTTAGATCTTGATCAAATTTATATGGGACAACACACTACCTTTCAAATTAAAATCAAAATCAAGGAAATATCAAAATCGGTTCACCTAGAAAAAAGTTCTGAGGTAACACACATAATAAAATACAATCGAATTGGGAACCTTCACCTTTTCCTGAAGTCGGTTGATAAAATGTAATAAATTTATTTCTTTGATGTAAGAAACTATAATTTCGTTAAATATATCTACTACCGAAAAGTACCGAAAGTTCTGAAATCATAGTTACAGCCAACGTTTATGCAAAAGCACAAATTGTCGGTTTCGAGTCTGGTGTTAACTCTGTCCCCATTTCATTGTGACCATTGAACGAGAGCTGTGTAAGCACGAATGCTTGTGGCACTATTATAATTTAAAATTTAAAATTTTGTACTGCCGACTTCAATATAAGTTATTAAGAATAACTCAAAAACTATTGGTCTGACCTTGATCAAATTCATATGGGACCACACGAGAAGTACCAGCTTTCAAATAAAAAAAGAATCATCGAAATCGGTTCACCCCGTAAAAAGTTATGAGGTAACACACATAAAAAAACACAGTCGAATTGAGTACCGTCTCCTTTTCTGCCGACTTCCAAAAAGGAGCCGGTACTCAATTCGACTGTATGTTTTTTTTTTCGTTTTTTTTTTATGTGTGTTACCTCAGAACTTTTTTCTGGGTGAACCGATTTCGATGATTCTTTTTTTATTTGAAAGCTGGTACTTCTCGTGTGGTCCCATATGAATTTGATCAAGGTCAGACCAATAGTTTTTAAGTTATTCTTAAATAACTTATATTGAAGTCGGCTGTACAAAATTTTTAATTTTAAATTATCGAAAGTAGCTTCTAGTTGACGGCTCCGTGGCGCAGTGGCTTAGCAATCAGTTGTTGCGCTGGGGGCCGCGGGTTCGAATCCCGCACGGAACAAGTATTTGTATGGCCTACAAATAATTGTTCCGGGTCTGGATGTTTGTCCTTGTGCAATTTATGTTTGTAAACTGCCTCTACGACACAGGAGAAAATCCTAGTGTGGGGGTAACGTTTTTTAAAAAAAAGAAAAGAAAAAAGAAAAAAAAGTAAAAAGTCGGTTGATTACAATTTTAAGTGTTAATTTGTCACGTGCCTGATGATGAACGATAACATAGTGAGCACCGTATATACCTGCATGTCGGAGGAATAGAATATTTAGAGGAAATGTGAAGTGAAGAGGATGTGTGAAGGGGGGAGCACCCCTTTTCTACCGACTTCAAAAAGGAGGACTTACTCCATTCGACTATACGTTCTTTTTTATGTGTGTTGTTACCTCATAACCTTTTTCTGGGTGAACCGATTTCGATGATTCTTTTTTTATATGAAAGCTGGTGCTTCTCATGTGGTCCCATTTAAATGTGATCAAGATCTGACCAATAGTTTTTAAGTTATTCTTTACAGGTGATAATTTACGACAGTATTTTGTAAGATATTGTTTGTTATCGGCCAGAAAGGACACTGCCATCACCTACATTGTTATTGCTTTTCTGGTCCGAATTTGTTGTAATTTTGCATAAAAAAATAGAAGACCATCTCGTTAGCTTATTTTTTATAATTTATTAAAATATTTTCACATTTATTGTGTAATTTAGTCACATTTAATTTAATATACCACATTTGGGATTTTATGCCATAATCGTTTGGCAGGTGGTATCATATGTTTTTTATCGTTGACGCTACTTCTTGTCATCGCCAGTCAGAAAGACCAGATGTTTAGTTTACACGAAATGGTAACTGTACCACCTCCGTCGAAGATCACGATACATTCTTATCAATTTTCACAACTCCTACACGATGAAATTGTGTCGTAATTTCTGTAGTTAGTATCAATGAATAAAAGAGTAACATATTTACATTACTGCAGGGTGTTCAGAAGAATGGACGATGACGGTAGCAAACAGCTCAATAAAGAAGAGTTCATGAATGGCTTGAAGGAAACTGGGCTGGAGCTCAGTAAGGCGGTATGTACATTTTATTTTTTTTTTAGTTTTTAAACTACGCTCAAAACTGCCTTAAGTTATTAGGAGTCAAGATCTCATCGAATATCATAGTCCAAGATCCCAGGGCCACCAGACATCACTTATTTACTGACGAACGAAATATGTATGATTGAATAATGTTAGTATGTACTATTATCGCATGCCTGCTAGCTTGGCCAGTGGGTTGTTTTCCAGGTATCAGGTAATCAAGGTAAAAACATTACTTACCTCACATTAATTCTCCCAGCTGATTTTTACGTACATAAATGTTAGATAATATCGTTAAAAATCAGTCATCAATACTCCCAGACTCTTTCCGTCGGCAGTATTACTTTGCAGACGCTTTAGTTCACAAAAAAATATCCTGAAGCTCCATGTTTATATATGTCAGCCAGACAACTATTTTAAAACGTTTTACAAGAAGGCAGACCGATCCTAGGGGCCAATCATCCCCTAAGGTGGACAGTTTCAGTAATTCTTTTCATGTCCTAAAATCCTCTCAGATACAACCACTCTTGGGTGCTGCGCGTACTCAGCCAGCGCCATATTTATTGTAGTTCTTTTTAAATGTTACCCCCACACTAGGATTCTCTCCTGTATCGTGGAGGCAATTTACAAACATAAATTACACGAGGACAAACATCCAGACCCGGAACAATTATTTGCAGGCCATACAAATACTTGTTCCTTGCGGTATTCGAACCTGCGGTCCCTAGCGCAACAACTCATTGCTAAGCCACTGCGCCACGGGGTTATGGATATACCCAGTCCTAGTTTTGAATACTTTCCGTGTAAAGGCTTTTACCAGTGTACTTCCGTTTCTTATCCGTTCTACAGTATTTCGATACAATATAACCTGTGATATAATGCTGGTTCTAGTGATTTAAAAAAAGTACACCTTAAGAACAAATACTACCTTCTCAACCAAATTATGCACTTACATTTTCTTCACATATTTCCTGGCCGCTTCGATACTATGATTCTAATCGTTTAATTTTTTTCCGCTAGGGGCCTGAGTATAATGCTTACTTGACTCTTCATTGTATCGTCGTTCTCAGTTGGACATGGGTCTTTTCTATAGTAAGGAAGAGTTAATGTAGTCGTCACGCCTGGCAGGCACATTTGTGATCCCAGTATTCTTTTCCACCGTCAGCGGGCAGGGTATTAACACCAGGCGATAATGACACATACGGGATGCTTAACAGTCATCTATCAGAAGTTATGAGATCTTTGTGGCCCTTTGCGTTGCCACTTTCAGTTTATTAACTTCATTATTTCTTGCTTCACTTTTTAATTTAATTGTTATTATTCTATGTCCTAGGAAGCAGAGGAGCTGTTCAATAAATTCGATACAGATAAGAGTGGATCCATTAGCCTTGATGAGTTTCTTAAGCAAATCCGTGTAAGTATAATGTGCAAGGTGGAAGTTTCTTTTAATATTTTATTTTACATAAATAAGTCAAATTACGATCTTAAAATCAAATTAGCACATATATCTAATTAAAGAAGTTGTATAAGTCATTGTCTTGCATCCAGCCACCGATGTCAGAGTCACGCCGCGCTATCGTGGAGCAAGCTTTTAAGAAGTTGGACAAAACCGGAGATGGCGTGATCACTATTGACGATATTCGCGGAGTTTACTCGGTCAACTCTAATCCACGGTACGATACATTTTCATTCACCGACTTCAGAATTAACATGTGTAACAAGAACAAGTAATTAGTACCAAGAGAAGAGGTAACCTTTGTTCCTCTCAGAAAGTTTGGCTTAGTTGTTTTACTGCATATATGTGATAAGATTAAATGTAAAATTAGTGTGAAGTCTATTTCGTCGCAAGTTGGACAACTAACAAAAGAGTTTCACTATTTCAACGATTGAACTAATCAAGTAATCGATTTAAAATTGTTACGTGAAAAGCTAGCTACTTATGTAATGCGTATTTAGCTTTTTTTTTTAATTTATTATTTCGGTTATAAGTTTTATATTTCTAACTTTTAATCAGTTTAAATTATTATTTGATCCTATTGTGCTTCATTCTATATTTTTAATTTACCACTTGATAGTGGTAGAATGAGATGTGATAAGTGATGATTCGCTTACCACTTCACACTATCTCATTCTTCGCATGCTTATATTGGGTTCGATTCCCGTTGACATTATTGTTCATTAACTAGAAAGACATAAACTGTTACTTTGATTCTCATGCATCACCACCATTCCGAACTGTAAGAAATAATATGACAGTTCTTAATGATAAAATAAAAATCCATTTCTAGATACATGAGTGGCGAGGAAACAGCCGATGTGGTTATGACCAGGTTTTTGGCCAACTTTGAAGACGATGGATCTACTGACGGAAAGGTAAACCTAAGGAATAATACAAAATTTTGTAGGAATAGATTGAATTATAACCAAAAGTTATAACCTCGATTCTGTCACCATCATCATCATCATCGGCTTGCGGCAGACTACTGCTTGACATAGGCCTTTCCAATTCGCCACGGTTGGCAGGCGGAACAGCGAACTCAGTACCTTTGATCTCGCACCTTTAATGCTGCTCTCCATCGCCCGGTCTAGGTTTATATCCAGCATATACCATATGATAAGAGATAGTGGCATTTCAACATGTATACCACATGGGACTGTAATCATAATCATTATTACTGTCCTTCATATAACCACTACTCAACATAGGCCGCTACCAAGGAATGCCACAACATACCTTCTTGAGCCACATGCATCCATCGACTTCCTTCAAGTATTCACAGGTCTCCCATCTAGTGCGGAGGGTAGGGTGGGCCCACACTTAGCTTACCTGTACGAGGCTACCATTCGAGAACCTTTCACCCCCATTGTCACTACAGCTTAATAGTACACACGAGATGGTAGATCGCCATCTAAACAAATAGTTTACAAATATTTGTATATAAACACCGCCACTGCACGGTATATTTTAAGATGTAAGAATATATCCACTGCCGCATGTATCGTACGAGGCGACATAAGGTAACAGTGCTTGCGGCTTGCGCCACGACTATCCGTCGCGTGATTCCACACGCGCGCTTGTAAAGTACAATCGGCTTAAACTATCAGTTCAGAGTATTATTAGTACTTTAGAGCATAGTCTGCCTTTATAGAATTCGTTTGCTATGCTCCCATAGTGATCGATTATTGTGTTCCATACCGAGGTTCATGTTCAAAATGAAAGGAAAGTAGGTGCTTATACTTAGGTGTCGGTATTATGTTTTATATTGATTAAAAATAAGTTTTATTTATTATTTCAATATAGTCAAGTCTTGAATATTTTAAAAATATGGGATAATATAGTATACTAGCTGTTCCTCGCCACTTCGTCCGCGTGTAAATAAGGTTTTTAATTTTTTTTTGCGAAGCACCCGAATTCTTTTTCTAAAATAAAAGTAGCCTAAGTTACTCCTTATAACATCAGCTGTCTGCCAGTGAAAGTCCCGTCTAAATCAGTCTAGCCGTTTCGGAGATTAGCCGGAACAAACAGACAGACAGACGGACAGACAGACAGACAGACGGACAGACAGACAGACAGACAAAAATTTTAAAAATTGTGTTTTTGTTATAAGTACCATATATACGAGTACTTTCATATGCATTTAGTGAAAAGCTGTTATTTTGACGTTACAAACAGACACTCCAATTTTATTTATTTGTATAGATTTACATTATACACAATAAATTCTTAGGACGGACATCCTCATTCATTCATTCACAAGTGGTGCTCGTCAATAAAAATTTAATGTTATGCTCATCAATAATTCGAGCCGTGGTAGCTCCGGGGCTAAGCATTCCCTGTAAATTTCACAGGTAGGTTCCAAACCCCGGCGACACCCATAAAATTGTTAATTGCAATTTTAAGTGCTGATTTATCTAGCGCTCGGCGGTGAAGGAAAACATTGTGAGAAAACCTGCATGTCTCAGAAATAAGGAAAAAAAGTGAAGTTCGCCAACACGCATTGGGGCAAAGCGGGGGACATTTTCTTGCCCTAATCGCAGAAAGGAGAGGAAGTCTGTGCCCAGCAGTGGGACGTATGTAGGCTGTAACTTTCGTCAATAATTCATTACGTACGGGGTCAAATAGTACTGGCGCCGCTGCGTTAACCGGGGGTCACGGCACATCATCCCGCTCAACACAGCGGACGCTCTAATACCCAATATATACGAATATTTTTCTACCGACTTCAAAAACGAGACGGTACTCAATTCGATTGTACGTTTTTTTTATGTTTGTTACCTCATAACTTCTTACTGGGTGAACCGATTTCGACGATTCTTTTTTTTATTTGAAAGCTGGTGCTTCACATGTGGTCCCATATAAATTTGATCAAGGTCTGACCAATACTTTTTGAGTTATTCTAAATAATTTGTACTGAAGTCGGTTGTACAAAATTTTTAATTATTAATAATAATTTTTATTACACTCTCAGTTTGACAAATATACACATGTGCATAGTACATATTCAATTACAAAACTACATTTCGAAGCAGCTAATATGTGTTACAGCCGTCAGCGTCTTCCACCCTGAGCTGTACAAAACAAAAAAAACATATCAATCGTTTCGAAATAATAAACAATAAAGTATGCAAGAAGAAAATAATAAAATATGCAAATCACTTTTACCAATAAAACATTTTTCTTTCAGGTAACACTTGAGGAGTTTATGAATTACTACAGTGGCATCAGTGTCTCCATCGACAATGACTGCTATTTCGACTTAATGATGCGTCAAGCTTACAAATTGTAACTCAATTATATAATATAATTTATGCTATAGTTTCATTTACACGGTCACACTATACTAAACAAGAAACTGACAGCAATGACATGTTGTTTTTTTTTAAGTTATTAAGCACTAAAGATTATATCGTTTCTCTTTTAAAAATCTAATAAGGGCGAAGATTTACCAAATTATTGTGTGCGACGATATCTAAATAAATGCTTCATCCAAAATATGTTGTTTTTGTTTAGTTATTACATTTTTCTATTTTGATGAAACTGAATGACATAGTAAGAAATTGTGGTTTACAAGTTGTTGTGACCAGGATTAAAAAAAGGAATGCTTCGGTGGTTTGGTCGTGTAGAAAAAATATGATGCTATGTTCCAGAAGCTAACGGCAGAGGCCCTAGACGAAGCATAATATGCGTAATAAATACGTAATAGTGAGAACTCATTTGTTATACTGCAAAATACCTGGGTGTGGCTCACAAAATTTGTATCATAACGACTCTAGAAAGAGTAACACACAAAATCGTAAGCAACACACTGGAAATTATGTAACACGCTAGAACTCCGTAAAGGAAGGATTATATTGCACCAGAACTTATTAAAAACCTTACCATATTTACGAGTACAAATAAAACTATTATAAATATTGGCATTAATTCTTAGTTGTTTTTGTCCTGACTCATACCCAAATGGAAATAAATATCACTCAAATTGTAACGTTTTATTAAACCTAAAAAATTATTTTGTATTTTAATGTAGAAGTTATATCAAAATAGTGAATATGACGTATTTCTCCATTAAGACTAAGGTATGAACTTATTTTGGATTTAATTTTTTTAGTGACATCACTAGAAACTATATTCTTGAGCACTTTTTTTTTCAATATTTTTATTAGAGTTCTCAAGGGTTCTTGAAGGGAAATGTTTGGCATATTTTCCTCCATTAACATGTTAGCTCTAGTGCATGGAGTACGTTTTTCTTGGTCATTATTAGAAATAGCTTTCAATGGTAACTTTTCTATAAAATAATTTTTTGTTGGATTAAATCAAGTAATTGTTTCTCTTTATACATCTTTGTAGAGTTTTTAAGAGTATGTTAAGATTTATTTGGGGTGCTTTTATAGCAACAGCAGAGAAGACACGATTATTACTACATCTACATAATATACACGTTTATTCACATTCAAGCAAAAAAATTTATACCTGCTTTTGAGGTCTACCGCAGTCGGTTAATGACAATGTGAACTAAACTTAATGCTATCCAGTGTGTTAGGTAAAGGTACAATTCCGTAGCCGACTGCAGGCAGCAGCAGCAGGCGACGTGTCGTCGCGACACTACTGGTTTCTATGTAGTTCTATGAAGTACCTTCCGTAGCTAGCGACACGACACTGTAGCAACTGTAGCCCGACCGCAGATCAGTAGTGCTGCAACGCCCGAGCGACATCACGTTGAATTTTTCTCAAAAAATGAGTTTCACCGATTCCGAGGAATAGAAACTGATAAATCAAGTGGCCCAATATCCCGCACTGTACGATGCATCTCACAATAATTATTTAAACAGTGTCATAAAAGATGATATTTGAATAAATATAGGAAAGGAGTTAAATAAAAGCGGTAAGCACCTATTTTGTTCACATAAACAGAGAACCCACAGAACATTCGGAACGGACTGAAACACAGGCTGCTGCCGCCTGCAGTCGGGTTCGGAATCATGACTGCAGCGACATGACGCCACGACAAGTCGCCTGCTGCTGCTGTCTACAGTCGGCTACGGAATTGTACCTTAACACACCATGTAACACAACACAACACACCAGACCGAACACCCGAGATTTTTGTGTTTAGAAAGAAACCCATAATATACGATTTCAACAGGTATTTATTTAGTACTAGCTGTGCCCGCGGCGTAGCTCGCGTATATAGGTTTTACTTAAAGAATTTGACGTTTAGGTAAGAGAATATTAAAAGATTTATATCATTACTGTATGAATAAGTGGCACCAAAATAAATCGTTATGCTCAAAGTTCTGAGTCGTTTGTGATAGAACTTCTGTGTAAACGACGTTAGAAGTAGACTTAGCCGGGGTGTACAGAAAAATGTTACGGGAGCTACTAACGCGGGAAAAAGCAACATAGAGTTGGCCATGTGCAAAACAGTCAGTACTGAGGTCTACTCCTGCAACGCATAAAGTTTGACCTTGCGCTTTATTTACGGTCATCGGTCATCGCATAACACACGCTGACTGGGAATGGGAAGTGGGAACAGAACACGCTTAGAACTGAAAGGAAAGTTATTTGATATAAGGTGGATTCTTGGTATAAAACAACATCATGACATATTGTTTTTGATGCAATTTTGCTACGTTTAGCTTGGGCGTACGTATCTTTTTTCTGATATCTGTTTTTGATGATGTTTGTGCTGTTAGCTTACACATTACACGGCTCTTTCAGCTTGAATGGACTCGTTAACGTACAACGCCATCTATTACGTTCTTCGTGGAAGACATCCTTTTTTAATTTAAGGAGAACATATTTTTTGTTTACTCTGTTTAAAGTATAAATATATTATAATAAAACGTTTTTTTATAAAAAGGAATCATTTTATTACTATTTCTGAGGTTTTATGGCGCCTTTAAACAAATCGAACCTACATTTCAAAATAATAATCAAAACTTTCGATAGAATTAACCAATTTTAATAAATAAAGTTAATCTTTGAACTGGATGATACGCTTTATGATTTTCTAAACAATTTCTTTGAAAAAAAGATGTTTACGTGAGACGTGATGCGTTCATAAACAAACAGACAGACAGACAATTCTAAAAATTATAAAAATGTACTTATTTAATGAGTTTCAGTCTCCATAATGATTTTAGTCACAAATTAATATACTATACAATGTACAGAATCAGACACAGCATGTGATTACCGCATGTATAGAGATATAAGGATAGATGGCGCTGTTAAAATCAATTCTAAAAATAAAAGAGATTAATTGACGCGATTGATACAATAAAAAAACTTAAAAGAACTTATAAATCAGGCCTACATCGTAAGTAAGAAAGAAAGTTTGATCCTCGCCGAAACCAATGAAATTGTTAATAGCTCTTTTAAAATTTGATTTACCATGTAGAGTACTCGGCGGTAAAGAATAAATGATATTGTCAATACACAGTAGGGCAGCGAGTAATTTAAAGATTAACAGCAAATATGAAAAGTCATTTACAGAAAAAAAACCACAACCTGCCTTCTTGCATGACATTTGTGCAAAACCACCATCTATCGATGAAATGGGTTAACTATTGTACTTTAGATTTACATAATAAGGTTAATATATTTTTTAATATATTTATTACGTTCTTTATGCAATACTTTTGTTTAAGTACTGCGTTTTAGATATAATTTCATCATTATAGAACATTATTTTACATCATTTAATTATGTTATGATTTATAATATGATATTAGTTTAAAATGTACTTGATGACTCAACAAACGCCACCATTGAACAAATTCGTACCTATACTTTGTAGCCATACTTCAGAATATTTATCATAACTTTTGATGGAATGAACCGATTTTAATGAAATAAAGATTAAATGTAACCCGAAGGTACACTTTAGAATTTCCTTAACGATTCTTATGATATAAATTAGTACTTTAAACGTGATACGTTAACAAACAAACAGACAGACAGACAGACAGACAGACAGACAGAAAATTCTAAAAATGGTAGAAATGTATTTAATTACTTATTTTTAGTACCCCTCAATCACTTTTATTACAAAAATATAAAATGTACAGACATCTGCTATTTACAGTTTTATTATATGTATAGATATATGCTTCATATAATGAAAGATGAACACATAAATTGAAAATTCTGTGTTAAATATCCAATATATTCGATGAACAAAAGAGTATAATGTATGAGAGACACTGGAAATACTGAGGGTACTTTTGTAGTTAGAATGACTGATATTAAATTAACACTTGACAGCTGTTGTTATAAGGTGTTTGTTGTGGATCGCAGTGGACTGTATGATTTTACTATGGCGAGTGGACTGTATTAAACTGACTACGCTAGGGGACTGCTCAAAGAAAAGATGGTACTAAGAAAACTATACTGTATTCACTTATTTACAAATATCACTATAAACTATCCTATGTACGTGGCCGTGTAGTGGCGGTCAAGAATATCCACTACACCATATCCTCCCGTGGGTGTCGTAAAAGGCGACAAAGGGAAACAGGCAGGAGATGGGCAGCAGCATCTTCCTGATAATAGCCAAAATTACAATAAAAAAACTGCGGTTGCCAACCCGCTCGCCAAGCGTGGCAACTATGGCAAATACCCCCAATCAACGCACGCACCCTGAGGACTGACGAGAAGATCGTGGAGCTGGAAGAAGAGATAGACAAGTTGCGCTGGCATATTATAGGATTATCCGAAGTCCGAAGAGAGGGGGAGGACACGGTAATCCTCGAATCCGGCAACTTGCTCTATCACCGGGAAGGCGACCATCTGTCCCAAGGAGGTGTCGGATTTATCGTCCACAAGTCTCTCGTTAACAACGTTGTAAAGATCGGGAGTGTGTCGACGAGGGTTGCGTACCTTATACTCAGAATCACCAAACGGTATTCGCTGAAGGTCATACAGGTTTACGCACCAACCTCAGCACACCCCGATGAGGAGATGGAGGAAATGTATGAGCATATCTCTAGAGCCATACATTCCTCCAAAACCCAATATACGGTGTTAATGGAAGACTTCAATGCAAAACTAGGCACAAGAGAGAACGGTGAGCTGAAAGTAGGGAAATTTGGAATAGGGCAACGGAACCCAAGGGGCCAGCAGCTGGCCGACTTCATGGAGAAAGAGGGACTCTTTATGATGAACTCTTTCTTCCAGAAGCGGCCCCACAGGAAGTAGACCTGGTCGAGCCCCGACGGTTCGACAAAAAATGAGATTGACTTCATTATGACGACCAGACGACAACTGTTCAGTGATGTCGCAGTG